TGTTCTGTTTTAGTGTTCTTTTTTTATCTTATTGAAATCATTGATTCTTTTGTTTTTTTATTTGAAGATGTTTCATCTTAGTTGGTGTCAAAAATATTTTAAAATAATAATATAAGTGAAAAACACCAGTGTTTATTACAAATACATACAATCACAAACACCAACATGAATCCACCGAGTGATGACAATTCAACAGCAGTTGAAACACCGTTATTAGAAGTGACTGAAACCAATGCATATAGAGAAAAAATTATAGCATTTGTTAATCCAAAATCGTATATTATTTTGTTTTGATGACAATCATATTTATTGAATATTATGTTTTTTTTTCTGTTTTAGTGGCGGTTTACAAGGTCAAGTCGTATTTGAACAATTACGAGCACAAATAGGTGAACCAAATGTTTATGATCTAATACAAGATCATGGACCACAAAGAGGTTTAAAAGAAAATCAACATGAAAAAAATTTACGAATTATTGGTTTGCTTTTCTAATCTGTCTAGTTTTGTATCTTAAATAATATTTTTTACTTTTTTATTCAATAGCATGTGGTGGTGACGGAACAGTTGGTTGGGTTCTATCAGCACTTGATATATCTCAAATGCAATATATGGATTTTGTTAGTGTTGGTGTTATTCCATTAGGTACAGGTAATGATATGGCTAGATTTCTTGGTTGGGGTGTTGGTTATCGTGGTGAAGATTTAGCAGCATGTATACAATCATTAGCTAGGTCAGAGACACGCTTACTTGATCGATGGCAAATTGATGTTAAACCTACTGCACGTACTGGAGTTGCTAGTTTAAAAGTGAGTTATGAAAAAAAATATGAAATTCAAAAAATAAAAGAATTCTTTTGTTTATTTTAGATTCCTCAACCTGTTTTTAATAATTATCTTAGTTTTGGTGCAGATGCACAAGTAAATTATTCTAAATAATTTACGAACAAAAAAATGAAATCTATAAATTTTTTATTATAGATAGCTCTTGATTTTCATGAAAAACGTAATGCAAGTCCACGTCGATATGCTAATCGAGTATTTAATAAATTAGCTTATGGTTGTATTAGTTGGTACGTTTTATTCGTAAGCGATGCCCTCAAAAAAAAAATGCCAATATGCGTAAAAAAACATGAAAACTGAGAATAGCCTGAGGTGTGATCTTTCATAAATGGCATGATTTCTTCTTTTGCACCTTGTTTTCTTTTTTACTTAAAGTGAAAAATCTTTTTCACTATTTATGTTTTTTTCGATTGCGTATTCCAGAATTCTCGAAGAAAATTCATTGTAGTGGATGGCTTGGTTTTTTTGTTTGAACGATCATGTTAAGATGCACACTATGACAGAGCTCGTCTTTTCAATTAAGCATTGTTACTATTATGTAAAAGAGTACTTTTATAATTAGAGCGCTATTTTTTAGACATTAAACTTTTTTCACTTTCAACAATAAGAATCTAAAAAAAAAGAACTCTTTCATGCTATTTCAAACATTAAAAACAATTAAGTCAATAGAATGAAGCACTACAGAGATGTTTGGCTTACCAAATGATTTATTTTTGACTCTAATTAGTTAAATATGTCGCGAAAACATGATTGTATAGGGCTGAAAATTTCATACTATTTACATATATATCTGAGCCAAGATTGATTGTTCTTTTTTTTTATCACAAGCGTCTTAATGCTTCCTTTTTTAAATACTTTTGTTTTTCTTCTATTAGTAATACATTTTTTGATCGTCGATATTTGTTTGGAAATATAGCAAATTATTTTGAATTACATGTTGATGGAAGAAATATGGATGAAGATTTATTTCGTTTTCGTCCTGATGCTATACTTATATTAAATATAGCATCATATGCAGCTGGAACAAATCCATGGCAAGGTGTTTATGATACTCTTTGGTGTGCAAGATCACAAGCTGATGATGATCGATTTCGTGAACAAAGTTGTTCTGATGGTTATTTAGAAATAATTGGTTTTAAACATTTTGAATTAGCAAGAATTCGGTTAGGAAGACGTGGTCATCGAATAGCACAAGGTATAAAAAAAATAATTTCATCTTCTTCTTTTTTTCCTTCAAGATTATTATATATAATTTTAGGAAATGAAATAAAATTAACTATTCGACGAGATTTACCGATGGAAATTGATGGTGAACCATTTTTACTTGGTCCATGTCAGATTACAATAACACGTAAAAATCAGGCACGAATGATTATAACTGAACGCAGTCAAGCAGCTCAACAGATTCAATCAAAACGTGTTTGAAAAAGAATTATATTTAATTTCAAACATAAGGTTTAATTTTTCTCATGGTCTTTTGTTTTCTATTCTGTGTTATATTGTTTACTATATCTTGTCACATGAAAAAACTAGCACAGCAACTGTGGTACTAGTGAAAGAAAAATAAAACAAAAAGAGAAAAATGTAGTGTATTTTTTTTTCTTTCTTATCATATATATACATATAAATTTATCCGTTTGTTTCGGTTATTTTGTCTTTTGTTATTCATTTTCTGTATGTTTATTGTTCTTGTTTTTTTTTTCTAATGAGTCATTGTATGTTTGGTGTTGTGCAGTCTTCACTTAAATTTGTCTTTTGATATTTTCCTCTTTGAATATTAATATTCTCACATGCGTGCCTCTTTTTGTCTCTTATGAATAAAATAGAAAATATTTGAAATTGATGTAGGTTTGTTTGGTTTTTTCGCTATGTTACAGAATGTGGATTAGAGAAAAAATTTTTTGAGGTCGAATGTTGTTTAATTCGATTCTTATTTTGCAAAAAAAGAAAAAGAATGATGTCTTAGAGAATAACGTAAAAGAAAAGATTAAATTTATTTTTATTGAAGATAAGAACAGAAACGCCTTCGATACACGCTGTGACGAGTATACTACGAAGGAAAAACACAAATTTGAAAATAGGTGGGTATTTGAACAGTTCGTTTTGTTCGATGTATATCACTCAAATAGCAATATATACCGTGAATTCACGAACTAGTAGTCGTTAGTCTTTTTTTAACAGTAGAATATTATAACACTTTTCCCTTTCATAAGTCGATCTTAGTTTAGGAACATTCAAATCGCATGAAATTTTCAGGATGTATTGCGGCTCATGATGTTTTCGGGAGATATTCAATTAATAACGGCCAAAATTAACTCATTTAGTAACTCAAATTTCTCTAAGTGCCTTCATTCTATAGACTTAATTTTTCTATTTGAAAGAGCATGACAGAGATCTTCTTTTTAAACACTTCTTAAGGGCAGAAAATCTCAAGGTCTCAAAAAAGTACTTTAATTATAAAAGTACTCTTTTACATTATATTTACAAAGCTTAATTGAAAAATGGATTCTCTCATGCTCCACATCTTAACGTGGTCTACCAAACAAGACAACAAGTCATTGGCTACAATGAAGCTTCTTCGAGAATTCTGGTATGTATGATCGAGAAAAACGACAATAGCGAAAAAGATTTCTCACTTTATCTGAAAAAATGAGATAACAGATAATAAATCCTGTCATTTATGCAAAATCAGACCTCGAGCTACTCTTAACTGTGATGTTTTTCAAGAAAATTGACTTTTTTTGAGATAGCGACCACTTAATCTATCAAATGAAATCATTCAAAAAGTATTTAATATCAATCGTAATAACACTTGAGAACTTCGGATCAGATATAGAAAATGATTGATCTGAAAAATATGTATTCTGCTTATCAGTAAATTTGATTTAATCAATGACTGATCGTTCGTCAGCATTATCATAGATTATTTTTAAAGTCAACTGCTCTCGAAACCGATTAATTTATCTTTTCAAATCAAATTTTGTATAGTCTTTTGGGTTGCGATTCGATTAAATGTTCTTTATGCCTATTTTGATTTGATCAATTAGTTTTCTCCAATCAATTCGAGCTTATTTAATCAGTTGTAGATTTTTTTTAATTAATTTTCATTCTCAGTCCTTGATACTAAATAGAAAAGAATGTTAATCTATTTCTTTACTCTAATCTCATTGAAGTACTTCGTGTTCTTGACCGATATTATCAATTTATAATATTAATTCTTATCCATTTCCATCTAGACGTTTTCTATTTAATAACTGTTGACAACCATCCGAAAAAATATGCCATTACTCTAATTACATTTAGAGTAGAGCGTTTTTTTTTTATATTTGTTGTAGACATGTGTTTATTCTAGTAATAAAATGAAGAGAACCTTTTTTTTTACATAAATGTACGAACAAACATTGACACATGCTCCAGCGAAAAGAGAAAAAACATTGTAATATTTTTGTTATTATATTTTCATAATAGGTGCAAAAAGATAATAAAAATTTTCAAGCTATCTAGAATAAACAGAAATTATTATACTAGAATTTACTAACATAATTGAACTTAATTTTCAATAAAATCTATGAAAATCATTCACATTCTATTTATTATGATACAAAAAAAAATTATTCAAACTATGACAATATTGATCGATGAGAAGATAGCACAATCGGACGCATTATCACGACGGAAGAAAAAATTTTATTGGTCGAAAATCGGCCAATCATATAATTCGCAACCAAAAAACACTAATAGACAGGCTAAGAATTTGAACATGGCTTCCTTGAGAACCAAACGCACTGTAAAAAATGCCATGCGTCTAACAAGACGTTTCAGCCGTCTTAAGTCTAATCAAGACGCATCAACTGTCTTATTTTAAGACACATGAGTGCATAGACACGAATGTGTCTTAAATTGTTTCAGCGAATCCTATCATACATCTTTTTGGCTTACAGCTAACTACCTGCAGATTTGAGCACGCTATGAATTGTCGATTTTTTTATCAATTGAACTGTTACATTATTATTTTGTTTTACTTATCAGGCTTTGTTTTTTCTAAATTAAGTTCATCAGCAACCTCTTTTTTTTTATTATTCAATAAGATAATATGAACCATTGGTCATTAAAGTTAACCAGTTGATTATTCTTGTTGTTTTTCACGTTGCTTGAAGTTAATGTTTCAGTTAATTTATGAATATTCATTGATAAAAAATAAATTATTTTCATATGAAAAACTTGAACATGAAGCTCGTACATTACTTGATACACATATTCGTAAATATTCAATTTCAAATGAACATTTTGTAAGTATCTTTGTTACATTAATCAGATTATTTTCAATTACTTTTTCAATGCAGTTAACTGAAAGAGATTTCCAAGCGATACAAAACTTATGTAATGATCTTAATCAATCAAATATATTTTTTAAAGTAAAATAATTACAATCTTTTAAACTAAACTTTTGATCCTTGTCTATTTAGAATGGATTGTCTGATTCTCATCCTCAAATTGGAGTTTTAATGGTGCCATCTGCTAATTCAGGTGTTGAAAAATCCTTTATATTTATAAAAAACTTGCCATACAAAATGCATATTCGTGTTGGTATTACCGGTCTACATAAAATATTAGCACTTCTTGTTATTGTATATATGAATCTCAATCATTTGCCTACTCATAAATTACTTTTAATGCTTGTTGAAAACTCAAAAGAAAATAGTAATTAACATTATGCAGGTATGACTTCAACTAGATTTGTATTTTCGTTTTATATTATATTAAGATGAAATATTTGTTTGTTTTTTCGCGATTTTTTTTAATCTTGCATCAAGTCTGAAATGGTTTTACAAATATATAGATATTGATGAAACTGAAGATCTTTTTTTATTCTTTTATGACACAAGACTCTATTTTTTTTTCAGATAATAAACTTCTTGCAAATTGTTTTACACCAAACTATTATAAATTCGTCATGTCGAAACAAAGGTCATCATTCAAATGAACTGGAAAATCAATACGAAAGAAAATTTAAAATTAGTTATTAAACATAATGAAATAGATCAAAAATAAATATTTAATTTTAAACTTCAGCATTATATTGAAAACATTTTTTTATTAAATATTTATTTGTTAAAAACGTTTTCGGATACTGGAGCTGTCTATGACTTCTTGGCTCTGGATAAAACATATGATTTAAATATTTTACCTAATGAAGAATATTTTCAATGAGCGAATTTTAAAAAATTTCATCTTCAATCGGAACAAATTAAAACTTATAAAAAATTTTAAAAAATTCCCTAACTTATTTTTCTTTTTAAATATGAGCCAAAATTGCAAACTTGGCATATTTATTTAGAAAAAAACATTTTGATAATATATTATTTTGATGAACATAGAGAGTTTGCAATTTTGGTTCATATTTAAAAAGAAAAATAAGTTAAGGAATTTTTTAAAATTTTTTATAAGTTTTAATTTGCTCCAATTGAAGATGAAATTTTTTAAAATTCGCTCATTGAAAATATTCTTCATTAGGTAAAATATTTAAATCATATGTTTTATCCAGAGCCAAGAAGTCATAGATAGCTCAAGTGTCTAGAAAAGACAGTACTAAGACTCTGAAATCGATTGGTGTAAATAGTCCAATCAGGATCGATTAAGACGCTCAAGTGTTCCAAATCGGTTATCCGCGGACACTTGAAGTGTCTAAATTAGTCTTTAACCAACAAATCAGAAATAGCGCTAAGCGTCTTGCTTAGACGAGCGAATCGTCTTATTTATACACTTCATGTGTCTTGATTTTTTAGAGTGTAGAAATATGAGCTTCTAAAAATGAGTTTCATCTTTAATGCATCATTGGATTTTTCATTGGACATTGATTTGATGACTCATGAAAATTCGGTCATAGACTATTGACTCACCTATGATCAACTCAACCATTAACTTATCTATCTGTTTTTCTTCATTTGAATCGTTTGTTTCGTTCATCACCAATTCATCAATATTACTTCCTAAAGATGAACGTGTCGACAGTATGCTTAAATAGCTCAATTCATGCACAAATGGATTATAAACAAGGTCACTCTTTTATTGTTTACTCTATTTTAAAATACTTTTTATTTAACTAAAGAATTAGAAATATTCAATCGACAATTAAGTAATCATATTCAAATTAAACAAAATTATGATGTATCTCAGAAATGATGTGCACTTTTTTGCTTCCCGGCTCAAACATCTTGTAAGCAAGACCTGAAAATCTTGGGATTTCGTAAGTAAAATTTTGATAAGAACTTGGAAAGATAATTTGTAGTTATATTTCTCAACTATGTCTGATTGATCTGTATCGAAGGTCTTGATAAGATCTGTACCAAGATTTTGAAATGTCAACATCAAAGAAAAAAATAACAACCTGAATATCTTTCTCCAAGATCTTGACCAAAACAATAGCGATGCCATAGATGTATTTTCATAATCAAAAATTCTTAATTCGTTTTAAATTTATATGCAGAAAACATTCTCATTTAATTTTTTAATATAGCAGGTATGAAGGAGGTTCTCAACAGTGGAGGCACGTATCATCCAATACAATTAAAGATTCAAAATATAAAGAAAAAAGAAATAAGATAAACTCTGTAATCTACGATTCATTTTTTTTTGACTAGTTTACTACATCTTTGTGAAAGACGTTACCGGTTATTTGAAGAAAATACTCACGATTAAATACAAGTTTTTGAAGAGATAGAATCGAATACTATAATCTTTAATAGTTTTAAAGATAAAATGTTTTATAAAAAATGACAAACTAAAAGATGCCTTGGGTTTCGATATTTATGAAATCTTTAAATAAAATGACNTTGCCTGTCGGCAAAATCTCAGGTCGAAATACCGTCATTCAATTTATTGGTATATACCACGCCATAGGCTAAAATTCCACTAAAATGCCTATAATTTTGGGCGGAAGGCCTAAGGGGATTTAATATTTTGGGATTTTTCATACCTCACGGGGATCTATCTTTTGCACAAAGTCCGAACTCAAAAGGGATTGGACAGTTGGCGATGTTCCTTCGTGAGTAATTGAATACAAGAACAGAACAGAAGTTAGTTTGAACTATATTAATCTAGTCTATTTTCGAGGCTTTGAAAACATACCTCACTATTTACTATTCAAATATCCTTTTGAACTGCTCTACATAAGAAGAACAATTGTGTTTGTATGTATTGATCTTATAAATGTACTGTACTAAGATATTCAACAGTGTTCACATATATTTCGGGATGTCCTACTCACATAAATAATAGTTGAGCACAATTGGCAGCTATTACAGTATTCGCTAGTAGTCTTCACTAAAGCATATCTGAAAGATGAGCAGGTTCATTTAATATTGTGTGCTTATAACAATTGTAATGAAACAAGCTGAAGTCCGTACGGACCTTCGACAGATCATGTCAGGATTGAATAATGACTCTCTATTTCTAGCTATATGATATTTTGACTTTTACTAGACTTGAACATGCTGCAAAAGAAAAAGAAAATGCTCTACAACAGCGAGATGATATGGAATCGAAATTAAAAGATTTAACACAACAAAAGTAAATATTATATGATCTTATTCATACATCATCAATATTTATTTCTTTTTTTATATTTAGTCGTTCTCTACAAGAAAAACTTGCTGAAGCAATAGATCAATTACAACAACAACATGATCATGTGCATACTACAATCGATCATACTCATGATACTAATTCTAATCAATTTGAACATGAACAAATGCATCGAACAATCAATCAACTTATAGAACAAGCAGCTGTTAAAACACGAACCGCTGTATGAAAATCTTTAATTTTTTAAAATTTTTACATTAGAAAATATTCATTTAAACACAAAACTTAGGTTGAAGATGTACGACAACAATATAATGATAATTTAGAAAGAATTATGGAAGAATATAACAATATGGAAGCGGTAAAAAAAGAAATTATTTTTGTAATCAACATAAATCTATTTTCTTAGGCATTAAATCAAAAACAAATTGAATTTGATAAATGTTTAAGAGCTAAACGATCTGTCGAAGATGAATTAGAAAAGGTTATATTAAATTAATAAAAAGAAAAATTATTTTTCTTTTTGTTTAATAGATTTTACAAGAACGACGTCTTAATTTAGAAAAAAGTGCTTTAGATAATGAAGATTTAGCTAAACGATGCTTTCAATCTGAACGTGAACGAGATGAATCACAATTAAAATTTGAACAAAATCAACAAGCATTTAAAATGCTTCAACAATCATATGAAGCTGACAAAAAAAATCATGAACATAAACAAAAAGAATTAACTGAACGATTGCAAAAAGTATCAAATGATCTTGATAAAATGACTCTTGATTATACAGCAACATTTAATGAATTAAATGAATTAAAAAAAAGATTATCATCAACACAAAATGAACAAACATTATTACAAAGACGAATGGCTGAATTAGTAAAAAAACAAAAAAATCAAAGATTTTATATTTAAGAATCGTTTATTTTTTGTTTTTCTAATATTTAAGGTTAAAAGACATGAAGAACAAATAATTGAAAAAGAAAAAGAATGTTTAGTACGTTTAACACAAAGAGATGATGTTAATCGAGTAACATTTAATGAATTACGTAATTTGGTTAATCGACAACAACGAATGATTGTTAAGTAAGACACCAAAAAAGAAAAACAATAATCTATCATGTGAAAGTTTTTCTATAAAATATTCATTTATTTTTCGATCATTTAAAAATAGATAGTTAGAGCTAGAAGCAATTAGTTTGGAATCAGACTTTTTCACTATTTCCGAATATGTATTCAGAATTTCCATTTGGAATAAGATTAAATCCTAAATAGTGATTGTACAGAGTACGATTTCGGCCAATTTTGTATTTCAATGAAAATCTATCAAATTCAATATGCGAAACAATTTTTATTGATTGAGTTTATATGACAGTATTTATAATCACAAACTTGTTTTCAGCATTCATTTTACATTATTATTTATCAATAAAGTATAGATGTTACTTCAGACTGACGACACTCTGACCTTCGCTCTGTAGTGTTTCTTATTATCAATCAGACCAATTAGTTTAGGGTAATGTCTGGACTCCGATTCGTCCTATATTTTCTATAATACCTATATTTTTGAAAAATCCTTTATTTTGTCCTATATTTCGATTAAAATTCCTATTTTATCAAAAAAATTAGGAAATGACCGGAAAGCTGTATGTTTTGCTATAAACTTTAGACGTTGAACAACGCATTTAGTGTGTGGTATCCATGTAAAAAAATGTAGCCAAAAAGTAACTTTTTAGTACTGTCAAAAGTTTGTTTTAAGCAGGCAAAGGTACTTATAAGTGATCCTTTTTAAGTACTTTTTCTACTTTTCGANAATAAAAGAAAAATATACAGAAATTTGCAGAATTTAAAGTTTTATTTTTCTGCTATGCTGAAAATGATAAGTAAAGGGTAGCGAATTTACGACCTTATCTAACCGTTCTCTTTATAATATGAAAAATAGTATTTGCGGTTTTTTCATTGGTTCAGTTTTTCGAAGTTTATGACCTACTTTTTTTGTTACTTATTGATTTATGAGAAAAGTCTTTTTAGTAAATCTTTTAATGATGTTCGAAATAGCTATTTATTTCTGTAGAAAAAAAAATTAGATAAAAATCCTGATGACGATCGAGCTGTTCATGCTAGCTCCAGCAGAAAAAGTTTCGAGCAGAGAGATTAACAAAACCAGACGATTGAGCGGAAACAATGTATAATAAATCCTTTATTTTTGCCGTTTTTTATCGAAAATCCTATATATTAGCCAAACTTGATCCTCTAAGGATTCCTATTTTTTTTAAAATTCGCAATCGGAGGCCAGGGTAATGTTGGTCCGGATAAGAACTCAAGTATTTTGTATACAAAGCAAACAATATATATATATTACAATATTAATCTAGAAAACAATATATTTAAATGAATATGTAATTCTTCTACAGATATATGCATCCTATTCACTAATTACTTTGATATTGCATTAATTTGTTTGATCTCTGAAAACGAAATGGTGAATGTGAATCAGAAATTGGGTGGATTTTGTAGAAGCTTCCAAAAAGAGATAATGAAAAATAGTGGAAAATGAGCGAATATTTTGTGTCAATACTTTCGAGCTGTAGATGATTATCATTGATTAATCGACACTTTCATTTTTTGTTTATCTTAGATATAAAGAGGAATGTCACACGATAGCTAGTCAAAGTGAAACAACAATAAATGGATTAAAACAAAAAATTGATAATTTACGCTCACGTAATGAACAATTACAATCAGAAATCGGTGATGTTAAACGAAAAGATGCTGAAGTTTGTTAAGTCATTAATTTTAATATTCATTCGAAAAGTGTCTATTTATTTATTTAGATGGATCGAATACTTACAAAAAATGCGAATCGTATAAAAGCATTAGAAGAACGTTTACATGATGCAGAAGAACAAGCTATTGAAGCATCAAGACGAGTATGAGATAATTATGATTTAATTTTGACTCATGTAATTGAAATCAAAGAAAACATAAAGATAATGTCGAGATTCAATTGGATTTCAAAAAGATAAATATTTCAACGATGAGTAGATCTTTAGAATAGGTCTCAAATAGTGTTGGGTATTCGACATTTGGCTCAGAGCATGGTCTCATGTTCGTACTCGTTCCGACAATTAATGAGATCTCGATGGTTGAAAATATTTTTACTTGTACAAACTGTCATTTATATAAAAGCATAGAAGTGAAAACTAGTTCGACTATACTTGAGAACATGTTACGCAATTGGAAAGCGATCTTGTTTTACTAAAAGAATTCGTTTTTAATGAAAATTCATCTACAGATGATAATTAAAAAGCATTCATATGCGTATCCATAATTATGATATTGAGCACTAGCACCACTGCGTTTCATTCCCGCGTCATCAGTAACAAGCAAACGTATACTTAACGAAATTGATCAGATGCCAAAAAAACTGAATAGTATACTTTTTTATATAAAATAAAATTTCAAAAACTCTATTATGACTGTGAAAGTATTTATCGAGTGGTGATTAGTTTCGACATGCCATACCCGTGCTAGATACTAGTCTAAAATGGATTTATTCATCAATTTTAGATATGTATTGAGATTCTTAATTTCATGATTTATTAACTTTGATCGAACCATTGAATAGAATATCATTCTCTTTGATTAGGTTGCTAAACAATTAGTACGTGATCGATTAGCCATAACACAAGGTGATCATTATTCATACTCAACAACGCGGTACTATGATTATTTTTTTTCTCATATTAAAAATATGTTCATTTCATATGTATTTTCTAGTCCTAATCATTCCACTTCATTATTTAATTTAACAGCACTTAGACCACAAATTGTGCCTTCAACAACAATAACCGATAGCATTGAACATCTTAATGATGAAAAATAACATTTATATCATTTGTGCAATTATTTTATTATGATCAAGTGTGTGAAGAGATGATCGAATATTTCATTCATATTTTAAACAGATAGAAAGAGTGAACAAGTTTTCTGTTTTTTTTTCCTAGATGTGTGTGTTTATTATCGGAAATAAAATAAAGATAGAAAGAGGAGAAATTTATTAACTTAAACATATACAATTAAACACAAATACGATCATGATAAAGAACTTTATTAGATATGTATAAATATCTAGAATAATTAAGAGATCGCTTTGTTATCAATGAACATGAACACTCATAAATTAGTTTTACATATTGCATTCTTTATTTTTGTCGGTACATTATTAATAAATCAAGAATCAACAGTGTCTATATATTAAGAATTTTTTGCTGTTTTTTTTTCTTTATATGAAAGACATTGATTAAAAACAAAAAAAAAAGAAGAAGAAAAAGAGATCATGTTGGAATGAAATCAAGTCACTGTTACAATTTAAAATAGACATTAACAAAAAAGGAAAATCTAACAACAAAACTTAAAGAACAAGAAAATACACCAGACTTGTTGTTGTTGTTGTTTTTCAAGTCTCTTCCGCTATAGTAATTGAAATAGTTGTGTCAGACGGTGGGATTTTTTTTGTATGACCATTCGTTTCTATTGATTTTATTTCATCATCATCATGATCATCAACATTTTGTAACATAACATATTCAACATTTGCATGTTCTTGTCTTGATGTTAAACGTGAATTAAATATTTGTCGAAGGCTAAGTATAATTAAACATAATATAATACTAATAAAAAATATAACTAATACAATAATAATAAATTTTTGATAATAATCATCTAAATCATTAAATTTATTACGCATTACATCAATCGATGAACTTAGCCAATTATTTATATGTATTGATGGTGTTACAAGTGGATGAAGACAAAAACCTTTATTAAAAAAAAATTGTTTTTCAATTGAAGTATAGAGAATTTTAAATGCTTTCTTACCATCCCATGATGATGGGCATTGACAACAATTATTTGTTGTTATATTTGTTGTACAACAAAATAAACATCGATGTGTTAATGTATCAAGTGCCATTGGATATCTACATTGACGACAATATGAACCTGGATGTAAACATTCAAGACAATTGTTTGTACATATTTTGCATTTCTTAAAAGAAATTAATAAAATTTTTCGAAATAAATATTTACTACAAAATAAGAATACATTAAATTTTATTTGTTAGTTTTTATAAAATTAAGAAAGAAAACTGTCTACTTTTTACGTTATGTCAACGGAAATTTCGAGTTATGGTCGGAAAACTGTCTTACAAGGTTTAGGAGGCATTTTCTCTCAGTCAATTTTAGCCAGACAGACTACCTTCGACTGGTCGTAGAGTTCGGCAGTTTCAAAAAACTGGAACCGGAACTGTTAAATCGTCAGATAAACACAAAATTTGTTGAATCTATGTCGAGGAATCTTTATTTTTTCATTCTGGAGATTAAACTTTTCAGTTGCCACGGTTAATATTGTTTGGGCTAAGTACTAAAATATGGGGTGTCTTCAACCGAAACAATTCAATAGTGAAAATTTTTTGATTTCGAGTAAGAATGTTTAGCTTCTTCCACTTCTAAAAATTATCAAGATCCTCAATTCCAAAAGTCTGTCGGGAAAAGATTGTGAATAACTCTTGCATAATTCAAATCATACACGTGAGTTTTCTTTACACAATATTATTTATGCTCACTGTTCAAATTGCTCATATTTTATATGAAGGAAAGTATTGTCTAGAAACTGATGTAGTTCATTATTGAAATGTAAAGACATCTCATTTTGTTGAACCACTTACTGAGTTCTATCTTAGTTCTAAATGTGATTGCAAAAAAAATATTTCAAAACAATCAGAACACTTCCTTACAATACAATTTCACTAGTAACATAAAATACTCGGACTATCTTTTATCATCATTACAAAAGGTGACTCATCTGCAGGTCTCTATTTATTTAGTAATTGTAGGCAACTCAAATTCAGCTATTAATAAAACTGTCTCGACTCTAATGTCTTATAGGTATAGACATTTGATTTGAACTATGTTGAATAAAATGTAAAGGAACATGGAACGAAGTTACAAACAATTCATGCAAATCTTCACATTTTTTTTTATTCCGACGGACTTCTGTAACATTCTTCAGAAAATATTTCTTATAAGTGTTAAAAAAAATTTCTCAATTTTTTAATTTAAACATTAACTTACAGTTTCATCTTTATCGAAATAATTTCCATTTGCACATTGACTTTTACATTCATTTCCGTTTCTTTCAAAACCTGGTGAACATGTTTTACAATTATCTTCTGATGGTCCTTAAAAATAAATCAATTAAATGAAGTATATTTATTGTTTTTTTCTATTTTCAAAAATCAATTTCTTAATTACCATTACAAGTACTACAAATCGGATGACATTGGAAACATTGTTGATTATATAAATAATAACCATCAGGACATTCTTCTATACATTGATTATTGAATAAAACTAATTGATCAACACATGTTAGACAATGTGTTAAATTCGTACATGTTACACATTGATTGTCACAAAATTCACAATGATCATTCGATGGAAAAGTACTATGATATACAAAAGAAAAAAAGAAAAATTATCTTTTTTTATAGATTTTGTTTCATCTAAATATTTTACCCTTGTTTACATGTTGGAATACAATTTGAATCAACTAATTTATATCTTTTTGATTCATCACATTGCAAACATTGATTAATATTATTACATGATATACATCCAATTGAACATTGTAAACAAATATTTGTTTGAAAATCAATTGTTTTTTTTTCACTTTTATATGATCCTAATGGACATTTATTAACACAATGTCCATCATCAAGAAGTACTTCATTTATTGTATTACATGCAATACAATCATTTGGTTTTGGTCCTTTGCATTGTGTACATGATCCATGACATGTATGAGTTTCACCTGTGTTTACATCAAGATAATATGGTTTACTGGTATGTTTTTCACAACGATGATTATCAGGAAGAAAAACATAACCTAATTTACAAGATGTACATGATAATTCACTTGATGATGTACAATTTAGGCATGTTTCATGACATGGAAGACATTGTAATAAACTTTTTGAAAGATAAAATCCTGGTGAACATGATAATACACAAGCATGATATTGAAGATATGGATATTTTCCTATTTTATCACATGATTTACATTGATCGATTTGTGATCCACTACATGTTAAACATCTTGAATCACACCATCGACATCTACAAATGATATAAATAAAGATTTTTATTTTGCATTTAAAAATTGTAACTTACTGATTTATTGTAAAATCAAAATATTCGTTTGATTCACAAGGTTCTGATGCTTTGATACAATCTGTATTTTTAAGAGCATAACCATCTGAACATGATGTACATTTATCAGAACTTATATCACATGATGCACAATCAGTTTTACAACGAATACATTTTCGTAGATGACGATCTTATTAAAAAATTAATTAATTTTGAATGATTCTTTTTCTTTCTAAAATTAATCTCTTACCAGTATAGTATTGTTCAGGACAAGATTCAACACAAGTCATTAGATCATGTATAAGAAATAAATCTGATTTACAACTAATACAACTCGTTTCACTTGCATTTCGACATGAACCACATTGTAAATGACATGGTAAACATAATTTATCTTGTTCATATGAATATGTTCCTTCTGGACATATACCAACACAACGACTAAAACGATCAAAAAAAGTAAAAATTTCTCTCTGGATTATTTAAAGTTCCAGAAAAAATGGGCTACTCTATATTTCAATTATATCTTGTTCAGACTCTTTTTCAAAAAATTTATCTTTTAATTTTCTAATAAGCCATGTGTTTTTTGTGGAGCGATATAACATTTATGATTTTCCAAAACAGGCTTCTAATCAGAGATGTTTATGGTGAAGGCGTCGGCGACACGCGAGATGTTTCAAAAATACTATGGCAGCAGATTTGCAACCGCGATGGATATCTCTGCTTCGAACGCATCATCCAGGATAAGCATTTTTGTAAAATAACTTTTTGTCAAATTTTTATGATTTCTTGTTTTAATCCTCTAATAAGAAACGAACTCATTTCAAATTGAACAGTTCAATGAATTCAAACGTGAATTATTCAGTGATTAATGTTTCTTATTAATGAAAAGTTACTCTGGCATCATTATTGTGTTAAATGAGTGATAGAGATTTTGGCTCGCCATGATGAAGTCTCCTTAATTATACAATCTCTTAAATTAAATTTTAATCAACACTGATTAATAGTTATCTTGATAACAAATCGATCTAGCTTAAATATTATTGAATTTTAGTGTGATGAAAATTTTATTTATATTCACTTTAAATTTGAATGTCTGCACAAATTTAACTACAAAATAAGTTGAAACGGAAACGAACAGTCTATACGCGTCTGTATATATGTCCGATTACATCTTGCCTAATTAAATATTCTTTTGTAATATTTTCAGCTTTATGTTGTCGTTGTTCTTAGATAAATGTTCAGAAATGAAGCAAAATTTTTCAAGAGATATTATAGAGAAATACATGCGAGATAAAAAGTTGATGAGAAAAAGCTTTTCAGGCACTGTGAGGTGTGGTCGGTCCGCGCTTATCGGAGAAAAAAGAGTGCGGAGTGGCTATGCCTCCGCTCTCCTTTGTTCCGCACTTGCTTTGTTTACTTAGACAGGCTGGACATCTGTGGCAGCTAATGTAGAAAATTATAAAATGAATTTTTTGAAAAAAAATTCTGAACAAAAGAATATTAAAGGCTATATAATTGAAATATTAATAGGTTCATTTCCGTAGCACATCCAATAATAACTTACAATTTTCCATCACTTAATGGTTGTTTAAAATGTCGACATTCTGTGCAATTTGTATCAGTATTACCACATGGTTGATCAAGTTTACATTCGATGTGACACTGAAACAA